CATTTTCTGGAAGGTGTTGTGAAATCAGCCTCTGAAGTTCTCTTTCATAGAACTTCAGTTTTCTTCTAGGCAATGCCTGAACTGCAGCACTGGAGAGCAGGAGAATCCCGGGCTCCGTGGCATTCCCCTGATGCTTGCGACTGAATTTAATTTCTACTTTTGCTATTTTCCTTCTTTCTCGATTAATATTTGCCAGAAATTTATCAATTTTTCAGTGTTTTCAAGGAAACTGCTCTTTGGTTCATGTCTCAGTTATACTGTTTTTGTTTCCTAATTTAATTATTTATTGATACTTTTATCTTCATTTCTTTTTTTTCTTTACCTACCCTCCCCCTTGAACTTTTATTTATTGAATTAGTTAATTTTACCTTTTGGTAATAAAAATGTTTAGAGCTATAAATCTCCCCACAAATACTGCTTTGCCCATATCCCGGGTAGTCAGATATATGGTGTTTTCACTGCCATGGTTTTATAAGCAGTTGTTACTATAGACATAATTTCTCTCTTGACCCAGAAGAAACTGTCATTCTGTACTATATTTTAAAATTCCAAGGATATCCATCATATTTTTTCTGGAAGACAAAGAGGGAAACAAAGGAAAGTAAATACAGCAATCATCCCTGTTTACACAGCCATTAAGTGTCAGATTTATGACTAGAATCCAGACTGACTGACTCCTGGTCTAATCAGCAAGAAAATGTTTTCTCTGCTTCCAGTGGAATAATTAAAGCTTGGGAATTAATGGCATGCCTCACTAGTTGGGGGAGCACGTGAGATGGAAAATCGTGATGTTCAGAGTCAGACAGACATGAATTCAAATTCTGCCTTGGCTCCTTGACAGCTGTGTGATCTTTGGCAAGCTTCTAGGCCTGAGTTTCAACTTCCTTATCTGTAATATGGAGATAATAACATCAATTTTATCCTGTTGTAAAGATTAAACCTAAAATCGTGTACATAAAATGCCACAAACACCATAAGTGATCCATAAATCTTCATCTCTGCCCCTTTAATTAATTTCCTATAGATGTTCAAGGTACTGGATAAGTGGCTTAAGAAATGAAACAAAAGTAAAAGCATGCAATAATCCCAGTGGTAACTACTAACAAAGTGCAATATTTTGAACTGCCTGGTTCACATTGGAAAACACCTTAAAAGTTGATGTGTAGGAGGATGGATCAACAAAATGTGGCACATGCATTTAATGATTCTGTTCTTCAGTTAAAAATGAATGAATCATATCTAAATATATCATTAAGAATAAATCTAGAAAAGACAATATTGAGTGAAGAAAGTTGTGGAAAGATATATATATATTATGTATGTAACTATAACAATACTATACAGTGTTTACAGATCGGTACATTTATAATACAAACATAAAAACAGTGTGTGAAGGATTTGCCCAAACCACAGGTTAATGGGGAACAGAGAGGATGTATACTGGGATTGGAGAAGGGCACAAAAGGGGCTTCAATTCCACCTGAAATTTTTAATTAAAAAAAACAATCTGGCAAAATGTTAACATTTGTTACATGTGAGTGTGGGGACATGGTCTTTCATTATGTTAATCTCTGAAATTTTTCTGTATATTTAAAATATTTAATTAAAAATATACTGCATTTATTTTTAAATTTAAATTTATATCTTGTGATACATCCATAAAATAGTGTTTTAACTCTTGCCTAGTGAGACATGTATAAGGATAAATTGTAAAACACTGTTTCTAGAATAAGAAAGATTCTCTTGACACAATTTTAACACCTCAAAAGCACTTTGCGTTCTTTAACCTGTGGTTAAACCCAGTGTCTGAGAGTCAAAAACCTCTAGAAGGCTTCAGAAGCAATCGTTCTAAGATGTTACACTAGCACCATGATTTGTCTTGCATCACTTTATACTGCTTACTATTAATATATGCCAGACATGGTGTAAATGCTTTACACAATAATTAACTTAATTTTCCCTACAATCCTATGAGGTAGGTAGGTTTATTATTTCCATTTTACCAATTATTTCTGTGTTACATTTGAGGCACAGGGAACTTAATCTGCTGAAGGAAACACAGCTAGTAAATAGTAAACCCAGGTAGTCTGGCTCCAAAACCCAAGCACAGGACTAAAGGACATGTGGCCAGCTGGGTGAATTGATCTTGTGTCCTCCCCTGTGAAAACCCACGTGGATCTTTCTTCCATTCCGCTACCTTCTTCCATTAATCACCCATAACATTCTATCCAGCATTCTCATCATCTCCTCTCTCCCTTCCTTAAGCATAGGAAATTGGACAAGGGAAAAAAAGGCCAAATGAATGATTTTGGGGAGGAATACTTAAGAGCTGGAGTTGTCTAGCTATGGCCCATGAAATGTCATGCTCAGTTCACTTCTGAGTGTACTCCACTGGCATTATATTAATACACTCATTTGGTGGATTAGCTATGTGGTCATCCAAATATTGGATATGCACTGTTTCATGTTGAAAATATGCTAAGGAAATTGGTTATACTTCATATCAACAATTCACATCTTTTGAAGCTATGCGTTAGCCATCTTCCTAAGCACTAGTTTAAGAGAGAGTATAATGCAAAGAACAGTTTGCATTTATAAAATATTTTAACCCTATGGTTTTAATTAATTGCCTGATGTTCAAAAAATGAACTGAAGCCTGACCGACTGTATAATTTTAATATTTGAAAAATTCATCCAGAAATTAACTTAATACAATACAGATTTGTACAAAAAAGAGGGACTGTTAAAAACTTTTGATCATATAGACAAAAATATGATTAAGCAAAGATTTAAAAAGGACAGGAAATTTTGTAAATACTGATAAATACTGTGCAATGCTTTAATTTACTGTGGCAGATACAAAAATCAAGAATTCATTAACAGATTTTATATATATATAAAAAGTAACTACATGAATGTTCTAGCTGTTTAAATTAACAAAATGTAACAGTAGTGGTTTTTATGTTTTAAATGAGGTATTATTACACTGTAAACCAAAAACAGAGTATAAATAAATAAAGGCAATGTGCAATTTAGTGATAAATGGTTATAAATTTCAACTTAATAACAACGGACAACAAAAATTCTCCAGTTATTTATGGACTTTGTAATTTTAAAATTTGGCTTGCTTGTGTACTTATTTAAAAGTGACATAGCTATCGATATACAAGCACATCATTAAACATGCAGACCAGGCCAACACGATTTTTCCATGAGTCATCTCTACCAAATACTTTGTTTACATTATATTTAAAACAATTAAATCTGGTTTCTAATACATGATTCTTTTGTGCTTATTAGTAGTAACCTACATTAAACAGCTTACTTTCTAGTTCAAGCAATGTAAGAGAGAAGCAGTTTTATTTGCATATGGATTAAAAACAGCAAAACCAAACCAAACCAGTATGCCTTTAACTCTCTTAGGCCTTCCAAGATTTTTAAGAAGAAATATCATTGAAATAATAAACCCAAATGGAAAAGCAGAGTCACTTTTGTCTCAAAGAGAATGGTAAACAAAATAACTCCTTTTCTTGAAAGATTTATGGGTTGGCTTCAGAACTGTTAGAGAAAAAGCTGATTAGTGCCTCCACCCTTGGAGAATGCTGCTGGTTGGGTGCAGGAAGCAAAGCAACAAGGCGAGAGCCTAACTCAGAAAAAATTTTGGGAAGTATTATTTACATATGAACCATATGCTGGTACTAAATGCTGGTTTCATTATTATTGCAAATATAACTTCAGAGTTTTCTGAAGGAAAGCTGTCGAAGTACAGAAGTCTTGATTTGGAAATATTTGTAACATGCTAATAAAACTGCTTCATTTGCTATAAATTAAAAAAAAAAAGCCCATTTACTATCTGACTTAAAATGCAATTTCTTTTTACATGCTACTTTATTAGAAACTCCAAGAAAGAGGGTACTTTGAATCGACTATATTCAGAATCCAGTGAAAAACAAACATTTTGGCCAAAACGCTGAATTTTATTTTTACATCAAGCTATATCATTTTGACACAAATGCTATTTTTGTATTCACTTTTGTCAAATGCCTTATCCTACCTTTTCCAAAAATTAGTGTTTCCGTACAACTGGTGATCAAAAAATGTAGCTATAAGTCTTGTACATCAGTCAAAATATATAAAAGCAGTTCTTTTCTCTTGTGCTTGTAATTGACATAATTCATCAATGATTAGATTTGATTTTTCTAATATCTTGATCCTTAAGAAGAAATGATCATTATACAAATATTACAGAGTACTCAAGTAACTAGTTTACCGCCAATGGGCATGCAGACTAACAATACTTAAAAGAATATAACCTCAAACCCCATTAATCCGAAAATACTCTTGTACAATCATCTTTATTGATTTGTAAAAGCTGTATACACATCTAAAACCCTGAATTTACTTTGTAAAAATAAATCTTTAGCAATAAATGGCACTATCAAAATCCCATTATTCTCAGGCTTTTATGTTATTTACATGCTTTTCGGCAACAGTTGAAAAGAATCTTATAGGACCACATCCAGTATATCAAAAAACCCTGTAAACTGCATTTGCAATTATACTGTTGTTTCCCTCTATATGAAAATACGGCTACACCCCTTATGTTAAAGGTAATGTGTAGCTATTTGCTTTGCTACTGTGTGCTAGCAGTGCACAATCTGCCACTGGGTTCAACTATGTCATAAATGTATTCTTTACTGCGCTTTGTTTTCCCAGTGGAATATTTGTGACAAACTACTTAACCTACAGAGAATGATAAAGTGCTATAAAAAAGAGGGACTCGACCCATACCTGTCTCTGCCATATGGTCTTTTCCTCACTCAAGCAATTTCTGTGTTTTTAGAAAATTATCCCCTTGCTGAACATACTTCATATTTGATTTTTAAAAAACTCAGTATTTTAAAGTTGGTGAGCTTTGTGAAACTGTTTTGAGACAGAAACATGAAAAGATTAAAGGCACAGTAAGAGGGAAGTGAATGCTACATATAAAATATTATATTTCAAGTCTTCTAGGTTACTCGAGTCCAAAGCCTTCTGAATTTGAAATTCCAATGATCAATTTCTGTTTCAGGTCTTTTTTGCTCTTGTAGGGGGGAAGGCAAAGTTGATTGAAGCAGGTATGGGCCACAGGTAACCTGAGGAATTTAAAAAAAAAAATACTAAGTGTTAAAACACACATAAAATGATGGCTAAGCAACTTTGCAAAACACCAGGACGCACATGTTCAAATCTATTTTGCTGTGCAAAGAGATGATTCCTTCACTGAACAAATATTTACTGAAGACCTAACTATGTATCAGGTACCATTCTAGACACTAAGGCTATGTTTACAGGCAAGACAGTCAATGACCCTGCTCTCATGAAATTTTCATTTGAGAAGCATTATTTTGGAGTCAGATCTGACTTTGAGTACTGCTTTCCTCACTTATGGATCTTGTTCGAGTTGCTTAATATCTCTAAATCTCAGTTCCCCATCAACGTGATAGGGTAAAACATCCAACTAGATTATTTAAAAGATTAAAAGAGCTATCTACACAAAACACCTAACAGAGTAGTAGATGATACAATGTTACTATATTCCAGTCTTTAATGTCAAAAAGTAATAAAAAGAGCATTTTGGGGACAAAATGTCACAAATATTCCAAGAAGTGTGGGGATGCCCACACTTTTAATTTTAATGTTGCTGCCCTTGATGCATATGTAAGCCTCATCCTCTGAATCCTTTTCATCAGCTCCCCCAATCCACTGCTTTATGACACTGTTACTTTCATTCAGGATTTCTACAGATACCATAGGACCCTTTCCTGCTGTCTTTGTAACTCCACGGCAACAGAATAGTGGTTAGTCAATAAATAAAAATGGGGAAGACACCAGAGAAAGGGAGAACATTTTTAAAGAAGTTTGTATGATTAGAAACTAAACTTTGAAAGCCCCCTTATATAAAAGACTTAAAATTATTAGAATCAGCATTTACTGAGTGCTTGGTCTATGAGACTCAAGCACTGTGCTAAGTGCTTTTACATGTATTGTTTCCCTTAAGCCTCAAAACAACCTAAAAAGTGGTGAGGAAAAATAGACATGGAAATATACAGGTTAAGTAGACTGTTCAAGGCTATAGAGCTGGTAAAGATGTGGATCCGATATTCAAGTCCAGATTGGTCTGACTTCAAAACCAGTGTTGTTAATATGTAAACATTTAACATTCTTATTTAACACAAATCTAGTGGATTGTCAATGGTGGACCTTATAAGAGGAATGGAAACTCCCTTTTCAGCTGGAGTGTTGTCTTTGTCTTTTGAGGTGCACCATTACTGCATCAGATTGAAATGTTATGTGTCTTCCATTGCTATTTAATGTACATGAGGTTCCCACTGGGAGTCCTAAAGTTGCTCTAGATTTATTAACAAGCCATGTTAGCTCACAAAATAATCCTTGAAATAATGATAATTATTGGAAAAGTTGACATGTAATGTCATCTTTGTATTAAAATAGATTACTCAGATTATCCTTTTTGAATCAGGAATATTTTTAAGACAAATATTTGGAAAAATTAGTTTCTGTTAAGTAAATAAATCTGTAATCTCAAAAGGCTTCTTTTGAATTTTTTTCACTTTTGGTCTTTAATTGTAAATTCTGTTCAGAAATTTCTTCAGTTTATATATATGTAAATATTTATTTTGTGTTTTAAATATAATCTTGATGTTAACTTAAATATTCATTCAGGAAATAGTTATTGGGCACTTTCCATGTGGCCACATGGAGAATACAGAGACACATAAAGCATAACCTCTGCCTTGAAGAACTAAATGACTAAGATACAGAGTGCAATATGATAAGTAGCACATCACTTCTATAAGATATTTTAGGAACTCACTGAAGGCATGATGATTTTTGACTTTACAGAGGAAGTCAATATTAAACTGGGTCTTCAAGAGAGGTAACAGACACATGCCACATGTAAAGGGAACAACTTACACTTATGGAGGAAGAAAGGCACAAAATGTGTTTAAGGAATTAGCAAAACAGCCAGTTGACTCAAGCATGGGAAGAAATGAAAATTGCTAGGTAGGCTGAGGGAGAAGACTATGGAGTTTTATTTCACAGGCTCCAGATTCTAGAACTTAAACTAGTGGGAAGCAATAAAGCTATTTTTACCCAAAGAAATATCATGATCAAAAAAGTGTTAAGGAAAATGAATTTGATAAAATAATTAGAAAGGGTAGAACCTGAGCAGGAAGACCACAAAGGAGGCTATTTAAATAAGCTAGAAATGAGGTCAAAATAACTTTACCAGAGTGGTGTCAGTGGGAAAGCAAAGGACAGATTGTAGTTCTAAAATGATAGGAAGAACTGACAGGACTCAGGTAATGTTCAATGTATGGGGCAGGGGAAAACAATGATTATAATCAAAGTTATGTCTACTGAAATTAGCTTTACAAATTATCAGGTATTTGGGAAAGGACGTAGATCAGCATTAATTCATTAACACTATTAGAAAATAACTGAAATCTATCATCACCATTACTTCATATGCAAAGAGCATGAGATTAAAAAACATAGAGGACTAGTACTAGAAGTATTTCTGGTACTTATTATAATAGCCAAAACCCCAAAATAAAACAAAACAAATAAGAAACCCCAATTTATTATTTTTCCTAAAAATAAAAAAATACATTCAAATAAAAATTAAGGGTAGACAACAGGTTCTATAAGAGACTATAAAGCACTTATTTGACTTATCAAAGTAAAAAGTTGGCAGAAACAAATTATCAGTATTAACAAGTATCAAAAACTTCCAGCTAAAGTCTCTTATTTCAAGCCCATGTTTTTTCTATGAAAATGACTTCAGATTGAATAAATCTCTTGATTCCAAATAATATTAGCATTAGCAATAATCTATAGATTAAAAATAGAATTACAATCTAAAAATTTACCAGTTAGTAGAAGTTTCATTCTTTGAGATTTTAAAGTTCAAATCAGCCATCCCTCCTACAGGTACTCTGTCACTTCCTGTAGTAAAATGTAGCAACTTCTTTTGAAGATCAAGAGGAAATCCAAGCACAACTTCCCAAAAGTATCTAGAGAACACCAAGAGAAATTTACATAAAATGCTTTGACAAAAATCCTATAGGATAATAAAGTAATATAAAGGAAACTCTAAGGGAAAAAAACTTTCCTTAAACACATGTAGTATCCTTAATGTAAAATGAAAAGAATGATGAGCTTTTATATATGAATTAGGCTTTTGACTAACATTATTATAAAATAACATTTTTATAAAATTGTGTAAGTAGTCCAACACTAGATAGGTACAGAAGCCATTTTTCTCCTATATAGTTTACAAGTCTTATCTTTCAACAGTGTTATTAAAATGCTATTTATAAGTACAGCACCCCTGAAATTCTAGGACCAAAGTCATTTTTTTTAAGTCAAATCTCTAAACTTTTATAGAAACTTATTTATATAATTTTCTCCCAAGGGGACTGCTAAGTGATTTCATATTTAATAGCCTCTAGAGATAAAATAAGATAGTGTGGGACTCTCCAATATTTCAGATAACTTGTATTGATTCAAATATTGTAAATGAATCACATTCTCTTTTGTTCCTTTTCCACAACCCCATTACCAGAAGTATAAAGAGCTTACCTTATAGTTAAGTCTGTTTTTGCATAGCCATCATACTGAGTACTTCTTTGCAGAGCGTGCATATCCAGTTCAGGACTTCCACAGACCAGAATTTCAACCTCTTCTGGACAAAGCAGCTGCCAGTAATTATTTATTAAAAGTGATAATTTAAAAATGATGGTTTTAAATGGAATTGGAACTATTTTCACTGAATCAAATCATACAAACCATGACTTCTTTTATAGTAAATCAAACAATTTTTGTCAAAGAAAAAATCTTCTCCACTCATATTTTTCCCTCTGAGGCAAGATATTTTTGCTTCCGGAGGTTTATAAATCTTGTAAAATAGTAATTAGTAGTTTGCCAGAAAAACAAGCAAATGACTTAAACAAATGCAAATGACTCTTCCCCCAAACCCAGAGTGAAGCTCCAGCATCTACTGATCTGCCTGCCTCCTTCCAAAATCCCATAACACTTGTATGCTGTAGAGTTTGGGTACTTGGGTACAATCTATTTGTATCTCTTGCTTGTTTTTTCACCTTTTAAGTAGGTTAGTCTCTCACGTAAAGAGATTAAAGCTCTTAAAAACAGAGACCATGCTATGCCATTTAATTCTTATTTTCCCTCTCTCTACCCCCGTAACTGCCAGTGTGTCATAGACAAAACTTAATTAGAGCTCAATAAAGTGCTTCTTTTTCAAAGGTGCTTTCAAAAACAAACATATTACAAAGGTTACTCTAAAACAAGCTGGAAAGACTGTAAGCTACCTACTCCTGCCCCAAAGTAACCTCTATCGTCCATTTCTTTCTCCCGTGAAAAATAATTCAAATGAAAAACCTAACTCCCATCCCTCATAATAAAACTGAGGGGAGATACAAGTGGCATGATGGAGCAGGCCCTGGGGAGCTGGGGTGAAGGGGAGCACATGATATTTCTGACACGGTATTCTAAGTAGAAGCCAACTCATATTCACGTGGCTGAGACAAGTCAAACCAACCCAAGTCTACCACGACTCTGAAGATAAACTACTTCCTATGGGTAAAAGGTAACTCAGAATTGCTGAGAGACGTGTGAAGCAGCGGGAACCAGGAAGCAGTTTAAATATGTTCCTTAATCAGTAAGAAGTTGTGGTTTTTGCCCTGGAGCTACACGTTAACTCTTTTTTTTGTGCCTTGTCCCTTAGTATTGAGACCCTGAGTTCATGGATCTCTTTATCCACTCTACTTGGGGAAAGTTTGTAAACCTCTAAAGACACAGCAAAAGGGGAGAGAAAAATGAACTGACTGGGGTTATTTTCCCCAGAGAATTCTAGAAAATTAAAGCTGAAATAAGAGAACTTTTTATTTTTAGCTCTATTTTTAAAAAGTAGAAAACACTTTCTATTTTAAAAGCTTAAATACTAAAATATTTAAAAATTATTTGTCACTATTATAATATTACAAAACCTAACTTAAAACTCAATTTAAAGTTTTAAACTCACCATTAGGGCATTTGAAGCACACACACTATGAAATCCATAATAAAATGCAGAGAACTGCTTATAGATGGATTTGTTGAGAAGGAAGTCAATATAAAGCTGTATATATTCTGGAAAGCAATTTTATGTGTGTTAAATAGTAAAAGTAAATGGTAAATACTAATTAATTTTAATTAAAAATGGTATTAACTTACCTTTCCTATTTTGATTGGTAACTGGAATTTTATCACCACCCGGCTTCAGATTATAGGACTTAATTATTCCAAATTCTTCTTGAAAAACCTGATGGGACATGCCATCACACATATTTATTGGTATGACTGATAAAACAACAGGATTTGATGAACACGTTTGTAAAATTTAAAAAGAACAGGTTTTTTCTTCTCCCTTATACAAACTACAGAAAGGCTATATTATCTAGATAATAATACTCAGGTCTTTGGAGCTATGTGGATCACTGTAACTTCCATCTCCCAACTATTATAAGGGGAGTGGAAATGAGAGAGTTTTGGCCTGACCCATTAGTTTCTACTCCTAAATTCTAAGGTTGAAGCTACAGGAGAGTCCTATTTTTAGAAACTGAAAAGCTCTGAGAAAGTAACTGAGTCAAGGGAACATGTAATTGCCTAACAGAGTACCCTCACCTTGGTGAATTTCTTTAAGCACATTCATTAACTGCTCATCTACATGTGTCTGCTTCATCAACTCTACTTTATGACATTAAGATCCTTTAAGACAAGGAATTGTATGTGTTGATTAATCCTCATTCATCTTTTCTAACAGTGGGTGTTTAATAGCAAATGGCATTTTTCATATATGAAATATATGGTTAACAGACATGTATTTGCCCTTAATTGTACCTGGAATGTTGAATAGAAATCTTCTTCAACATTGCCTTCGTATGATAAGAGTTCACTTAATCCATGGGCCAACTCCTATAAAAAGAAATCTATTATATGTCTTTTAAAATCAAATAGCATTTTACCTAAAATAGTTAAGCAGATCTACTATAGTTCACTTATATGTGAGATAAGGAGTAAACTCTTTCAGATTTCAAAATAAAGGTCGTATTTGAGATGTATTTTCCAGGGCACAAAATGCTTAATGATTTCTGCCATCCAGAGGCTTGGAAAAATCCATTATAGGTCATAGAAGAGGAAACTACCCAGTTCGAATCACAGGCATAACTCTGGCTCTATCCTTATGCACCAAGCTAAATGCATCTCTAATGTAGTTTCCATCATAATTCACTGCTATATGCCATATTATTGTTTGTGAAATACTTCCCACTTTCAATCTATATTCTTAGAAAAATATGCTGTTTTATGATTCATCTTTTAAACATAAAACACACAGTTCATACATGTTAAGTAGTTTCTACATTTTAGTTAAAGTGCCCTCCTCTCCCAAGAAAAAGTTAAGAACATTGGAAGAAATATTTTCTTACATTATAACTCAAGTTATCCATGAATAAGGATTTAAAAATAGAAAAACTGACCCACTATTTCCAAAAAATTTTCAAGTTTTATGAAAAAATTCAAGTTCATTTTAAATTAGAAAATGATAAATAATAGCATAGAATGATTTTAAATACTTTACATAATAAATTTTCTATATCATTAAAACCAGAAATTTTCATACAAATCTAGGCTGGCATAGATTTGATATGATTGTCATCATTGGTTTTAATTATTAATAAAAACTATCCCATTGTTTCACATAAAGAAACTAGAGATCAGAAAGATTAAATAATTTATCCAAGTTTGCAGAGCTAATAAGTGGCAGAATCTGGATTCAAATCACTGCCTCTCTGACTTCAAAGTCTGTTCCACTCTGCTGTAAGAGCTAAGGAGTCCTGCAAAGTGGGTGACATGTCTCTCTAAGGAACGAGAAAGCTGGCTGAAAAAGGAGGTAAGTTATAAAGGTAGAGGAAAACCATATTTAAAAGAAAGAATAGCATCAGGAGGACAGAGACTGTGCAGGTAGAAGAAAGATAATTTAGCATTAAGGACGTTTCTTAACACTATACTTACAGGCATAATTTGACATAAGTCGTCAATGTTAACACTGCAGATGCCTACTGGTATGTTTTGATCACTAGGAACGATGGGAGGGCTCAATAATTTCTTGTAACAGCAAGGAGGGAAACGAATATCCAAGGTGATGCTGTTATAAACAGCTAGTCCCATAAGCTATGCATACTAAATGTTAAGCATTAACATAAAATCCATGACAACAAATAAGTTTTGAATTATGCATCAGTCTATTTCTCACATACTTCTTTCACATTTAACACTGACTTTCTAATTAGTCCCACATATATCCCTTCCTCTCTTTCATTTATTTCCCCTTTATTTTATATAATTCCTTGATTGCCAAAAGTCATGTAAAAAGGAATGGTTCAGTTGATAGTATTTAATGATTTCCCTAATCTAAGACTGCAATAAACAGCAACTTCAGACATTTCTGTAAATTATTTAACACATAAAAAAAATTTTCTAAATTTAAACAAAAGTGTTGGTGATTTTATAAGCAGCAGCAGCTGTTTATTCAGTACAACACTGCAGAATACACTACTGGTTTTGGAGATAGTAATTTTAGTTAAAATTAAATATAGACTATGTGAAGAAAAGAGCTAAATTGAATAAACATATAGATATGCTAATATGCTATTGATAAGCTAATAGGATAAATAATTTCTTACAGTAAAACCTGAAAGGCTTTTGTTATTTGGAGTTTACTCAAGTGTTGAAGTTAAAAAGCTACAGATATTATATTTACAAATTTTGCCTACTTTTATCAGTTATATGGCAGAATATACTTATCCTTTGCTGAAAGAGAGATTGTAGATTAAATTTCCTAATATTTCAACTGTCAATTATTAAATAAAGTTATTAAGGAAGTAATTAATTTTATAGGCTCAAAAGGAAATCCAAACATATGGACTCGGTAAATTACTAAAAACAATTTTTAAAAAATTGGAAGACTGCCAATATTTCAATTTGCTAAGGCAGAAGGAAGGCTGATAATAACTTAAAAAACAGATATGCTATTATATAGGTAAGCATATAAACAGAGACTGAACAGTGTGTTCAAGGGGACACTGAAAATATGTCCTAACATACTTGCATAATCATAATGATAGTAATAACAATGATAACCACAATACTATTATAGTCACCATTTATGATCATCTACTATGGTGGCAAGTTTTAAGCATTTTTCATTTAAAAAATTTTAAATATTACAATCCTGAAAGCAGTTTTTTCACAGATGAGAAAGTAGGCTCATAGGATTTCCCATAGGGTATACCCACATGCAGAAGCACGTTTCATTTCACACTAAATCAACCTGCTCTGATGAAGGAGGGTTGGGGATGGGGGAAGTTTTCTGTTGGAGCCACAGAGATGCTATGTGGTACAAATAGAGCAGAGTTTGAAAACCTTGCACTATACTATATTGCCCTTACTCTTAGTTCCAATGCCTCTTTTGGTACAGGTAATTCTACTTTTACAACATTGTTACATCATGGCTCTTCATGTAATCTTCAAAACATTTTACAACAATTATTGTAGGTTTTACTGAAACATTTCTGGTAAACTTCAAGGCCTTCTCATGCTTAAAAATAACTATATTAGAAACACAATACTAGACCGACTCATCTTTGATCCTGAAATTTTAAAACTGGAGATATGTATGGAACTGACTGTATTTTCTCAATGATCATGCCTGTTACTTCTCAATTTTCAGTTCCTAATTCCTTATATGACCACAATCCACTATTATCTCACATTTTTCCTATATATAGTATCATGCTTTTTAGGGCATCAATTTTGATTTCTATAGGTTTCATATGTGTGTGTGTAATGAATAAAAATAATGAGATAATAGCAGTTATAATTTTTAGATTTAACTGTTTAACTTGAAATATGCAATATGTAAACATGCTTAATATGCTCTTTGGGTTAATGGCTGAAGAGAAACTAATGTCTATTAAAAAAAACAATGAGCAAATTCATGATTTTATGCATAGTACCACTTTAAAAATGTGATGACTAAATAAGATATAATACTTTATTATAAATATTAGAAACTCAAAATATCACCCAAATCTAAGTTGTGATATATGAATGTAAAGCATGACAAACACACATTAATATATCAGGGAATTTAAATAGGTCATAGTGTAGTGAGAAGCATCGATCACCTTCATTGAAGCTGAGACATTCAACAGCTGTTTACTACGGATAACAGAATAAAAACCAGGAATCTAAGAATTGTTAAGTGTTCTCCTATACTGTGAAGTTTAGCCTTTGGAACCTTTAGATATGACAATATATACAAAATTTAAATTAAGTTTACTATCTCAGCGTGTAGTTTTTATTATCTTTTCTTTCATCCAGTCTCTCAACTTCCATATACATTCCTCAGAATTTACTCCAACAGAAGTAACAAAGACAGACATTCAAAGCCCTCCATAAGATGCCTCTTAATTCTTTTTCTGATGGTATCTTCCATTACTCTTGGTGTGCTCAATTTTCTGTAACAAGTCCAGCACAATTCAGCCTGTAACGTCCCTATCTCTATCCCTGTGTTAATCACAGGGATGTGTAATTGTTCCAATTTTAAATCTCTACCTTCTCTGGAAGAAATACATTGCATCTTTTTCTTCTCAGAACTCCCTAGCACTTAGTGCCATTTGGTCACTTGACTTTGAGAATAGACTACTCTGCACTGGTGGTCATCCATCCATTTAGATGGTAAGCTTCTTAAAGGTGGAATTTTTTCCTCCTCTTTAAACCTACTCATTTCCAGTGATTCCTCATTTATTTACTCTCCCCTCCTTTCTTCCACAGTTATATTTCTTAGAATTTAAGAAGCTAATAATGTAGGAATCATTTTCCTGTCCAATCTCCCACCCAGTGCAGGAATGCCCTCCACAACACACCTGGATAGGAGTCAGAGGATGGCAAATGGATTCATAAAATCTAAAAAACACTATAAAATAATGCTGTATGCTTTAAATATTCCCCAATTTCAATTTAATAAACTGAGTGAAATAAGCACAAAGTGTAAGAACAGAAAAATATTTCAGTATAAATGAAAAATACTTCGATTTTTAAAAAATGCCTTAATTTCTGATAACTTTGATTAAATGTGAAATAGGAAATAACTATTTTTATTTTGAGATAAGGTTTCCAAAAAAAAAATCAAAACTCAGCCATTTCTTTGAATTAATTTAATCTACTGATATTATATAGTTGTGATATATATAATAAAGATTAATGAAAATATATTAGTAAATTTGACAAGAATATTTAATTTGGATAAGATGATTAAAGAGAACAATTTTCTAAAACACAAATACATACAATCTTTTGAAATCTCTAGTCTATTAGCACCTCCTAGTGGAAAGTTTAAAGGATACAATTCCAACCAATCGGAATTCAGAATAGTTATCACATTTAAAGCTGCTAAACCAATGGCATTGTGAATCCTTGTGATATGTAAACATGCCTGAAAAAAAAAACCCACATAATTTTATTATTAACATGATTGATTTTAAAAAATCACAGTGGTAAAAATGTACACGACATCTATTAGAAGCAAATCATTTCAGCAATATTTCTATTACAAACCATCTTTAATGTTAAAAATTTCACAGATTCTTTAAGGGACCACAGATTTGCAAATCTCAGCAAATATAAATATATATTACATATATAGAGAGAGATTTTATAGAATTTTATTGTTCATTGGTATCCTGAACCAAGGCGTGGAAATACAAAGATAGAAACTAATCAGACTTTGTAAAAACTATAGTTTTGTATATGTTGTGATCAAAATTAATTTTGAGGATTATCTGGAAATGTCAATATACCCATGTCATCTCTATTTACCATTACCAGAAAAATTATGTATATATACACACACACAAACACACATACATACACATATATAAAATAAACACATATATATAAATTCGGAAAAACAGATTTATATAGACGGTTTCTCTAAATAAAGTCAAATTTAAATTTCAAAGGCTTATTTTTTCTTAACAATTATTTCATGAATTCTTGTTAAAATGTCTCATTTAATGAAAGAGGCTTCAAATACTAGTGTAAAGCAAACTGTAGTTTTGGTTTTTAATTTCAGATTTTTTTCAATGACAATTTTCATGCATTTACTCAGAAAAGATATGGATGTTTCCTCACAAATGCATACTTTCAGTCTTGATACATTTTGTTAGTATTCCCAGCAAGACAATTAACATTTCAATCTTCAATTTGGTCAATTTTTAAAATTTAAATAATAGTCCTTAAACAATTATTCAACATTTATGGTTGACAAAAATTCTGTAAAATCATAGAGTAGGTGAAAAATAAGGGCGACTATTTGACTCTAACAATTATGAAGAAACATTGTTCATAAAAATTAGATTAAATACTCACCATAATCTGGATGAAAAATTTGGCGAATTAGAAGGAGGAACCACTCTTTAGTCAAACCACCCATATCCAAACCAGCTTCCCCTACAAATGTAACTTTCAACTTCTTTTTCAAGTCTGCTCTTTTCCGGGTTAACTATTTGAAGGCATTATATAGTAGAGGAGAACAAAGAGCAGTGAAAAAGGAATTAACTTTTTTAATTCTGAGAAATGTGTTACATAGTCTTTATCTTACTTACAATGTCACAAAACTCCATCCATCCATCCATCCATCCATCTACCCACCCATCCATCCAATAAATCTGCCAGACACTGTGTGAGCCAGGTGTTTACTATGTTTGTTTTGTGGATCAGGAAACAGAATTAGAGAGGTCAGGTAACTTGCCCAAGATTACTGTCTCCTGGTATCATATTGCTTCCAAAATTTTAATTTATCAGACAATATATAATAATTCATTTCATTTTAACTTTCTGTCAACATTAAACTTTAGAAAATCACATAGCTGAATCAGCCATCATCTTCTAATGGCCATATGAAGATCTAGCCAAAGCACTGCAGGAAGCTCTACACATGACATGCAATCAAAATATGTCTGAAACCGAACAGGCCCAATTTACCCTGTAGGACAGACCTCTGATTTTATGGATGAGTAATCTGAGGTCTGGAGAAGTTTAAATAACTTATTACACACCTAAGCAGTAACAAAGGTGGGTCTAGAATCCAAGTTACATACTCAGAAACATGAATTACTCATTTAAGTGTTCTACGTCAAATTATTTTCTGGGGAATTAACAACAAATCATTAGTAAACATACAAAAAAATGAATACAAGACCTAATTATGAATATAGAACTGATATTAACTATAGTATCAAAATTTAAGGAAGCACAATCACTAGCATAGAAAAATAAAAAACTAAGATTTTTGTAATAAATCATATTGTAGAATTTATCTAGAGATTTAATCAATTAGTATCATTTTGGAATAAATTATACCTCATCAAGTGAATCGCTAACCAGATGTGTCCGCCTTACTTTCATATTTAGAAATAACATATTCATATCAGGTCTCTGTCTTCGAGATACTTTATCCACCAGACTTTGCTAATTAAATAAGAAAGTAAACATTTTCACTTTTACTTAAACTTTAATTTCATTTAAAACATTTAAATACTTTAGTAAAATAATCAATTATTGTCTATGCCATCTCTCATTTAAACATTTTCATAAAATCAACTATATACATTTTTATTTGCAAAATAGATTATTATTTCATTTTATAATAATGAGAACCAAATGCGGTCCAAAATGGAGGACCCAAAATCATTCACCATGTATAGTAAAGAATGTTACATTACAGTTTCCATGTATCTTATCTTTTATATAGCAAAGTTTTCTGTTTAATAAATACAAACAAAATAAAAACATTTAAAACAAGGTATAAACTACTGATGATACAGCTGGGCTTTTTTAGATACTGAATTTTCTCTAAAAGCACAATTAGCCTACTTTTAGAAAGTTGTCAACATGTATCAAAAGCCTTAACAATGTTCATTTCATACCCTTTGTCCTAATCATTCTACTTCTGAGAATGCTAATACAGAAAATATTTTACACAGTGAAATGTTCATCACAGCATTATCTATAGAAACAAAACTTTAGGAATACCCTAAGTACATATCTAGCTAATGAAATATAATACAGCTACTAAAAAATGGTCCTAAATTATGTAAACAGTACAAGGAAGGCACAACTGAAGAAAGTAGGGAACAAAACTGTGTGTACAATACTGTTTCAACTCTGTTGTCTTAAAGATAATATAGAAAAAACATAAAAAGAAAATTTATTAAAATGTTAATAATTACACTTGGATGATGGAGATATAGGTGATAAAAAATCTATTTTTGATGTTTGTTCATAATATAAGCACTGAGTATGTAAAAAATATTTTAAAAAATCTAAAAAGAATATATAAATGCCATTTATCATGTAATATCTACATGCCTGTATATTTATTTACCTAAATCCTTATCAGACAATTTTTTGGTAACAACAAAAACCACTGTGCAGATTAAAGGTGAACATTTCAGACATTTTAAATACACGTAGCAATTTGCTTTAATAAAATTTTAATACCCCAAATCTATACAATTTAAGGCTACTTATGATTTTATAGATCACTGTAATAAAACACTCTAATTCAGAGCCTTCTTTATTTCTCCAATATTCAATGCTAAATGCTTTTAACTGCTTTTTGCTTTTCTAGGTTCTCCCTTACAAAAGAAATCTGTATTCCTAGGATAGAATCCTGTGTTATGGACCTTTTTTCCGACTCTTTCCTATCTTCTGTTCCCAGTCTAGATCCTGGGGAACTATCATACTGGAAATATCTACTAAACAAATTTATACTGGGATGCTAATGACAGACAAGCTTAGTGGCTACTCCTCCCATCAGGAATTCATATTTCCTAGAAAATGTTCCAAATAAAAGAAATAATTAAAAAATGATAGAAGTCTAGACAGTTTGATTATTTTTAGGTTAGCAAACTTCTTTGGCAACTTTAGATTGTACCATATAAGCTCCTGCTTACACTGACTACCTGTATGACTGTCCTTGTGTCAAAATAGTCACCTGTTATCAATTCCAAGTGGTATGGCAGTTTACAGATTAAAATGTTGGGAAACATTCATACAAACATAATGCCACTTGACTCTTCAGTCTCTACTCATTCGCTTTCCTGCTCTATGGAAGACTCAGCCTGTGACAGAGTCTGTATCTGCCACTCTCCTTCTTTTAGGTAGAAGAAAAGTTCCACAAGAAAAGATATGATCTTAAGTGTAACACAGAAAATTGCTCAGAAAAATTTAAACAAATGTCTAGCTCTTTAGATTTTTTCTTACCAATACATAAAATCATAGCCCAAGGTAAAAAAGTACTAAAAAGGCACATGACATTGTATAAATACAACTAATAGAAAATGTCAAAATGACTAGCTATATAGACTAATCTTTGAGCCAGTATCTACCCAAGACCAAGTAATAACAATTCTGGTGCTAATTACATTCATTTAAACTTATTCTCCAGGGGGACAGCGTGGCTTTGGAATGCCCTTGGTAAGCATGGTCAATAAAGTTTCTTCTAATACTCCCATACTCGGCATAAGCCGACTTCGGGATGTCACCAGTTGCTCACATCTTTTGTCCTTCTCTGTGATAGAAAGAAATACTCACCTTCCAGGAACTGAATCACTGAAGAATAAATAATTCTTATTTTTTATAGTATTTTGAAGTATTACAATTTATGCTTTAAGATTCCTTTTATATTCTCGGACAAGACATAGAAATCATTTCTTTTTACTCTACGTTTCTCTTTTTAAGAAGACTATAGTCAAGCTTCCCTCTAACTTTTAAAGTTGTGAACAATCATGTTGCACAAGCAGCTGCTTGAAATACATGAATACTTTAGAGGTCTAATAAAAAAACCTCACTGAATCTTTATTATATAAAGTACATAAGTGGTACAGAGTGGTAAGGACAGGCTCAGAGATAAACTTCACCTTGCTCTACAACTTGCCTAAAGTCAGCCTGACTGCTCTCCCAGCTTCTATTGGCCTCCATGCATTTTGGTTTCCTAAGAATCAATAAAACACCTTTCCCCCCATCTTTGGGCTTATTTCTCAGTTCACCGACACTCTGCTGGTTACCTGGAGTTGAGGTATGGTATTTACAAAATGAGGTTAAACAACCTCCCAGTGATTTGGATCTGTGAGAAGCATTTATTCTTCCTGCTATATTTATAATATAATGAGAAGTTGCTTAGAAGAGATGAGGGGTGTCTTGTCTCCCATACTCTAAACAGGTTTAAGCACTTTTGGGGGGAGTATAATGTGAACTTTACTTTTAACATTTCCTAATTATGCTAGAACAATTCACAAGACATTTGATTTATTAAATTATTTACTATATTGATTATAGTCAGCATAAATATGTTTTTATAGCTGGCTTACCCTTGCGATGCTTATCATCTGTTGTTCTGAGTCTCTTTGAATAATGATTTTTTTTGCAGCTATAGAAATAACGAATGGGTACTGACAGAAGGAAAACCTGCTCAACAAGTGAAAACAGAAAAAGCAAAATGGTGTATTTTTAGCAAAATTATACTAAGGGAATCTAAGGTACCCCTTCTAGCAATATAAAACATTACTTCTGTATTGTGTTTTACCACTTACAAAACGATTTTATGTGCATCACTTCTTTTAATTCCCACAGCCCTGTGAAGAATGTATCATTACTAGATGTGCAATGCCTTTATTCTCCAAAAGCAGCTACATCTAACGTTCTGAAATGTGTGCTAATCACTTACATTGTTTATACAAAAAATTTCAATGTATACAGTCATGTGGATATCATCACCCATGAAAAACATGGCCAACACCAGAATCAGGAGACAGAGATGCTGATGAAAAGTATTAGGACAGAAAACTCGTATGCTCAAATTAATATAAGAATCCATTATTATATGGCTATTTCTGATATGTGAGCTTCAGAAACACAGAAATCTAGCAACAACTACAGTACACAAAAGACAAAGTAATAAATTCAAGACCAATAAAAGTTAATAAAAATATATTGCTGTTAGTACTATAATGATGTAGTAGTATGAAATAGTATATTATTTGTAAAGACTCAACATTATGATCAAAGGTTATGAAAATAACCTCTCCTGGGTCAGAACATTTTACGATATGTAAAAAAGCCACAAACTAAACAGAAAGAAATGCATTTAGAAAGAATGAGTATGGCAGGAGTTGGACTGCCACCATAAATAAATGCAGTGAATTTTTCAGTTATGGGTGGAATCCATCTGAACATAATCAGGTGGTCCATCTGTGACTATCAGGTCCAATGAGGACATCATGAGGAAAAAAGAGATAGTCCTAATGTGAACGGAAAATGAGACAGCTTTCACTCTGGGACAAAACTGCTAATAAACAGTAGCAGCTGTTTGGTACTAGTATATAATAATTTTGAATCACTAATGCTAACTAAAAAATTTGGAAATACTAAAAAGAATTTTTGAAATAAAAAGAAAATTCTATGAACTTAGTAGGATATATATCGGTTTTATTATGTGTTTTAAAACAGAACTTCTCAACTTTTCCCTCGTCATGGCACAAGAAAAATGATACTATGCGTATGAAACGCTGAGTTAAACCGATGAGGATGCTCATGGCCAGAGCTGAGTTGCCCCAGGGTTCCAGGTCACCCTCCAGGTTTAGGCTGGTTGTCCAAGGACTGAAGGGACCCCAGGATTAAAACTCTGATGTAACTCATTCTTGGTACACCAGTACTATGGCACAATGGTTAGAGGAAGCTCTGCATTAAAAAATATTGTCACTGAAATATGTGGAATAATTCTTGGATTTGTTTTGTGCTTGTAGCTACAACATTACAATTATATTAAAATGGGAGAAAAAAGTATGTTTGTGAAATAAACTTTGCCAAGAAAACATCCACCAGACTGACCAGGGCCCCAGAAATTCAATTCTTATTCGGTCCTCAGTGTTTGGATGTAAATTGAGATATCCATTCTATGTTTTAGGCCAATTCTGATAAAGTGGGTACATGGAAAATTTAACCAATCTGTGAACTAATGTGGGGTTTTAAGGTTACTTAATCCACATCGTAACTCTCACTCAGTCTCCTTTAGAATAAATGCAATCTCCTGAATATCTCATGGTCTGAGAATAAATTATGTTTGGGATAGTCTTTGCTAGTTTAATCCAAATTAGAAGTGTGGATATAAAGTGCAGTGTATTAAAGAATTTGGTCAAGTGTTTTCAAAGGCTACTATATTACTATAATAAATAATCTGTGGTAAAGCCCTTCCTCTAACATCTATTCCTTTTATACTGTATGTAATGGACAACTACTTTTTCTACAGAATAAAGGAATGAATGTGTTTGTATGTGTACATATGGGTGTGATCACTGTGTTAGACTGGGCACCAGAAAACTATGGCCTCTGGAATGAATATGGCCTACCACCTGCTTTTGTAAATAAAGTTATTTGGGACATGGACAATATTGTCTAAGGCTGCTTTTGTGCTAAAATAGCAAAACAGAATCCGAATAGGTCACAGAGCCAAAAATATTTACCATCTAGTCCTTTACAGAAAAAGTTTGTTGACTCCTGTGCTGGCTGATTGCATATAGAATAGTAAGATATAAGAAATAAGATGTAAGATCTAAGACAGAACCTTTCCCTTCTTGAAAAGATACTATTAACTAAACCAAAACCAAATTAGCATATATATAAATTTAAAACGTAGCAGAAAAAAAATGCTTTAACAAATATAGTGATATTTCAAGGCTGGATAGCTAAGCTATATTTATAATTTTATATGTAAAAGTATGTGTATGCTTTATTTATATAAACTTAAAACCTAGTCACTATTTTGAATAGTATTTCATTTGGATGAATAATCAAAGGAGCTTTTGGTCATACCTGTGAGAGTTTCCAAAGCTCTGCCAAGTATGATACTCTTCCATGAGATCAATGTGATCCAATGTAGAATTATAGAAATCGGTATAAGGAATAAGGGGAGGGTGAACCAAATTGTTTGCAGTATCTGTAAAGATAAATTCTAACATAATGATCTTTTCCAACATGCACATGATTCATTCTAATACAAACATTATTTTAATGTCCACCAGATAGCCTTGATCTAAAAGCTCCTATTTCAAACAACTGTAGCTCCAAATGAAAAGGGTAATTCTAAAACTGTGGTCAAAATAAAGCCAACAATTTTTTGCTTTTAAAAGAAACATATGGGGAAGATTATATTAGTATTAAAGGAAGTATGCAGGTGGCCATCTACTCATATTAATATATTTTCCCATCAGTGTGTTCTCTCCTAGAGATCCCCAGTAATTAATGGAAGTTCCTATTTTCTCAGGAATCACTGCTTAGCATATCATATGTATTTAATAGCCATAATACAGAATACTGCCCAGAAAAAGGCATAAAGTTTGATTCATGCTTATAAAATAATTGTGAAATACATTAGGAAAATAGAAAATTACAACTCTTTCCTTCAAAGGAATGGTTTAAAATTTAAGAATTCCTCTGTAGTACTTTGAGATTCTTAAAGAATGTCCCTAATATTTAACAAAAGTAAAAATGACAGAATAATAAAAACCTACTAAGTAAAGCCAACACTTTAGAGGCTGATGGTATCCACCAGGAACACTTTGTTATAGGTGGAAATTCTTCAGGCTTTGCAGGAAACAGGCGTAAAGAAATAAATTGCAGCAATCTCTCTACCAATTGTTTGAACCTCTTCTGGGATAATCTGGTAAAGATTTTGAAATAATTTCAATCAAAATTCACATTTTCTATTTTGGGAATATATTTGCTAGATATCAGACTACATCCTATACACAAAATTTGAGACTATTCCCCCAAATTCTATTTCTTAAATTGCCAAACATTTGAAAAGACAGAAAATCTTACCTTGAATACAATTTCTTAATACCAAAATGACTATAAAGTTTGTACCAAGAATTTAATTTGCAAGATTTTCAATATTCAATCATTATTCACGGATTCTGCATTTGCAAATTTGCCTACTTGTTAAAATTTAATTGTAACCCCCCCCAAATCAATATTTGTGCTTTCATAGTCATTTGTGGACATGCAAAGGTTAGTGAAAAATTTGAGTCTCCTGACATGCACATTCCCAGTTAAGATGGAACAAGGTGATGCTCTGCCTTGTTTTAGCTCTCATACTGCAAATGAGTGTCCTTTACATGGTTTATTTAGTTTCACATTTTTCATATTTTTAGGCTTTTTGTTGGTGATTTTGCCATTTCAAAACGGCCCTCAAGTGTAGTGCTAAAGTTCTGTCCAGCGTTCTTAGGTGCATGAGGCTGTGACGTGCCTTACAGAGAAAATGTGTGTGGTTAGAGAAGCTTTGTTCAGGCATGCGTTATAGTGCTGCTGGCCATGAGTTCAATGTTAACGAATCAACAACTTATATTAAAGTGTCTTTAAACAGAAACACTCGTAAAGCAAGGTTATGTATTGACTGGTTGACAAAAGTGTGATCAGAGGCTCACAGGAACCTAACACTGTATTTCTCCTAGAAGCAACTGTTCCATACTTGCTAATTCAGTGTTTGCAGCAACTTTATAACTACCATAAATAATGAGAATCAACTGTATTTAAAATTTATTTTGGAAATATTCTGCTTCTTTAGTTTTTATCAATCATTGAGAAAAGTCACTGTTAATGAGAGTATAGTCCCATGGAAAAAAAGTATTGTGTTTTTACAAATTGATACTGATGGCTAACCTCTTTTTCACAATGATGTTTTTAGGTGAGAAGAAAGCATCATGTAAATAATGGTGAGATTTACTGATATATAGATAGGAAGTAAAAAAAGACAAATATTAGTAATGTCTGAGAAAATCCAGTCATTATCTTTGAGATATATAAAAAAGCAATGATAAGAATGTGCTACATAAAATGTGAAAGCAGTAGACAGACATTCTCAACAGCTTGTACAAGCAAAAGTGTTACATTAAAAACAGATTTTTAATTATCCTCTATGTACTACTAAAGTACGGTTTTATAATTGCCTTTTGAAGCTTTGTGAATTATAAGTATCATTTCTAAAGACCTGAAAATATTTAAATATATTTTATTGTAAAATTACTAATATCAAACTTAAAACCGTGAGACTATAAAACTTCTTAGTATCATAGAATGATTTACTTTTTAAACCAGTGAGCTAGGAAATGATGGTCAGCTTCCACTAAGGTAGCTATCTGTCGTAGCAAGTGGGCATAGATGACATACGTAGATGTGTTATTAAATTGAGGATTCTGAAAAAGATATTAAAGATAATTGTGTTAAAATTTTGTTAACACGTAAAAGGAAAGACATCAAGCTTAATAGGTTAAGTGGTAAATTCAGTACACTAAATTTGCAAATATAAAATACTTTAAAACAATAATCTATTTGTTATTTAATTAACAGAGACTTTCACTTATGCTGTAATACGGTGGAAAGAGCATGGGCTTTGGGGTTCAGATCTGGGTCTGAGGGCTAATTCTGTGCTGACTAGCTGTGTGTCCTCAGGCGTGATCCTTGGAGTTTGGGTTTCAATTTCCTTATTTGTAAAATGGGAATGATACTCTCTTTCTTAAAGGTTGTTTTGAGTATTAAAAAAGAAAATGTATGTAAAGGACCTTCATAAAAAGTACCTTCATAAATGGTGCCAATCACTACAATTCGATTAAACAAAAAAACCTAGATTTTCCTTGATTAAAAGTAAAAAGAATGTTAGAAAAATGAAATAAAAGCTGATTGTGAAACTGTTGCCATTATGAAATGAGTTAGCTTCATATCTCACAAAGAACAAGGGGCAAACCCCATAATAGCTTCTGATAACTTTTAAATGTTCAAGGGACATTGAAGGAGTGCTTGTAAACCAAGCAACACCGCTAGTTATGTTTCCACAATCTAAAATTCTAGCACAATGTACATTTCAGCATACCATGGAAAAAGTAAATATATTGAAAAATAAACTGAAATTGTGAAAAATAAGAGCACTACATGTTTTTCAGAACTGACTTATTGTCAGGACAACACAAAAATGGGGAATGACTCCGGTTGATAACTTCATCTAGTGATAACTGCTGAGAAGAACAGGGTATCATGAGCAGAGCTTACTGCTGCTAATATACTCACCTAAAAATCTGAGCTTCACGTCATTTTTCTAGCTTTTACTGTCTCTACATATGTTTCTTCTTCTTTTTTCCCCCCCAAGTTTTGGCTCCTTTTTCCCTTATCTATTTTCCCTCCTTATATTTCTCTTCTATATCTTTTGGTCATTTTCCCCCCTCTTTTCCACTTTTTCTTTTTTCTTATCTCCTGCTTTTCTTTCCCTACCCTGCATATTTCCTTTTATTGGACATAATATTCAGCTAACATTATATCTTATTTAATATAATTTAAATGAGATAATATAAACTTTTATAAATTGTGAATAATAATGCAAATGTAGTATGCTAGCTATGATAATGTTTTTTCATCAAGAAATAATAAAAACTAAAAATTGCTTTTATTTGTATAGACTTTAACTTATTTTTCTATCTATGAATCTATATCCCCCAAGAAAAATAAGTTCATCACCTTTGCTTTATAGCAAACAGAAACAACAACTTTTATTTTTCCATTAGAATTCTAATTTAAACATTACTGAAAAATACGTAGAGAAGAGAGAAACCTACTAGATGGGGAAAGAAAAGAAAGTCCTGGAGCCCATTAAAACTAGTGACGTGAAAGGAGATTAGAATGGAGAAGGAAAGTGCTTCCATTCTTGTTTGTTCCTGAAATGCTGTGGCAGGTGGGCAAAAACTAAATTAAAATTGTAATCCCACATATGATTTAGCTTCTGATTGTTTATTTGTTACAGCTTTAATCCTCTGGTTACAAGTAACTATAATTCTAAAAAGTATCAACTATAATTCTAAAGTATCAAATATTGTGCAAAATGATACTTAATATTTTACATCATTTCACTTATACATACAGACACTGAGATCGGAATTAGACAACTTCAACTAAGTTCTGGCTCTCTTACCTGTAAAAGTATAAAATATGCTCTAAGATCATCTTTTGTTCGTGGACTGAAAAGGAAACAAGCGTAATTGATTACAGATGAATGTTTAATCTTCTAGTATCTAATAAAAAAAGACCAATAAATGCTTCTAGGAGAAGCTGAGAAAAACTAGACAAATTAATATGTATTATTATTGAGACAGTAACATGTCCACAACATGCTGGGAATACAGGTTCTTCTGTGCCTATCCTAAGCTGATCCTGAAGATACCTAAAGACTGAGTTGACTAGGCTATAACGTTTGTGAGGTATTATCATCACTAACTCTGGAAATAGCTGAGAGTGTAATAAATAATCAAAAATTTTAGAATGCTTATGTTTCTGTTTTAGTAATGGATAATCTTTACTTAAGAATATTTATGCATTAAGGAAAGAAATTATGCTTGTGTTTATAGGTCCACTCCTGAAGTGACAGAAGCAGAAATGTCTGCAAATCAAATCATACTTTAAAAGCATCTAGTATATTTCTACTTAAAAGAATCACATTTTGATATCTCTGAAAAGTAATTTTTTTCTATGAAAATATAGATTTTCCCATTATCAGATTTGACTGAGAGTTTTTGTTACTCCCAAAGCTAGTGAGTGCCTCTTGCCTGCTCAAGATCTCTTTGATACACTCTCACAGATACCCAGAAATAACTTCTTACATTAAAAATGGTTCACCTTTATAACAACCAGATTAAATTCATGATCCTTGACCAGATCTTGGATTAAAAAACAAAACCCAGATATTAAAGCTTTTGTTATTGCCAAGGCTGATGAGTATTTCTTTCTCGCTTGCTCTAGATCTGTTTGTTCTCTATCATCTTTGCCTCCAAGTCCTTTCCTGTCACACCTGCAACTTCAAAATCTCTGCAGTGTCATTTATGCCCACATGAATTATTGGGCATGAGCAACAAATATAGGGTGTCCCAAAAGTCGCCATACATAGGAAAAATGGGAATTTGTAGCTAAATGTACCTTTATTTACAAAATATTCATTGCAAAATTTTTCACAAAAAAGGTCAATTTTCTTAATATACTAAGAGTTCCAAATAGAAAAATAAACCTGCAACAAAAAAGGCAAAAGTATGTGGATAATTTATAAAAGAAATATAAATAG